CTATTCCAGATTTGTGCTATGATTTCAGTCGGATTGCTGCAGGTATTTATGGTTCGAAGCATTTTCGACACTAACACGCGTATGAGTTCATTTTGGAAAAAAATGGGATTGTGATACGCATTTAATCTCAGAGAACCCGTGACACATGTAAAGTTCTGTAGTAGAAGTGCAGCTTTTCGCCATTTTCCCCGTTTAAAGCCAAAGAAAATTATTTCGAAAGATGTAAAGAAATATCATATGAAATGTAGAATACTCAAAACATATGTAAATTTCATGTAATTAATTAAGTGATCTCGAAACCCAGTCATCTTTGAAATACTATTTTGCTATGTCGCAGCATTAAAAAATTTGCCATATTACAAATAAGTCATAATTTTAAGTACTTTTGGGTTTAAAAACTTCGCGAAACATTTATCTTTTTAACAAGTGGAATTATATTTTCTCTTTTAAAAGTTATCTCGGAAAGTCCTTAAGAAATACATTGCTTACAACAATAAAACCAAAGTTTATGCTTGAGCCACCTTTCGTTGTTCCCTAAGCATTTTAAATGACACGCCAGGATCTTTGTGCGAACTGCGCGGGAATCGCTTTACTTTCTTTGATTTCTGTTTTCCAGTAGCAACACTTACTGGTAAAATGTTGCGTTTTTGGAAGTTTTTAAATCGGTCGACCAACAAACTGGATTCTGGTTTTACATTTCGTAAATTTCCCGCAATGTCCTCTGGCATATTAATGTCTGTGTCTGGCTCAACGTATTTAAGGCTTCCTAAACGCTTGGTTTCGAATTTTTTCTTCAACTCTGCCTTCTTGCGATGTTTCTTCAAAGCATTCAGCTGTTCTTCTTCTGCTATGACTTCAGCTTTAATTGACTTTATCCTAAAAGGAAGATAGTTTTTAGTATAACTACAGCGAAATTAATATTTATTTCGCACCTATTTAAATCTGCGATTTGCTTTTTAAGGGCCTTTTTCTCTATTTGTTTTTTCTTTAATTCTTTTTGTTGCAACTCTTTTCGACGTGACTGTTTACTCCTCTTTTTATTCTCAACCGGTGGATTAATGCTTTTGTATGCGTCGCCATCTAATTGATCAATTCCTTCGATATCTTTTTCATCAAAATCTTCATCCTCTAAACCAGAACGCATTTCTTCCAATCGACGTCTATCGCGTTCCTCTGGTGTGACTTTCGAAAACATTAGAGTAGTAACGCGTTTTAAATGATTCTCCACTTTAATAATTTTTTCTTCGCGATCTGCTACCTCTTTTATCAGCGCTTGGTGATCCTCTAAGGAGGGGTTGTAACTCATGCCCGGATGAGGAGCTTCGAATTTCCTACAATTACAGATGAAGAAATTAATATTTCATAAAAGTTTACCACTCACTTTGCTTTGGTTGTGCGGTGGCGTATGCTGTCGTGCACTTTTATAACAGGCTTGCCCACATTTTTTGTCACATGCAATGCTAATTCTTTGCTTATCCAACCCTTCTCATCCTTCAAACCAGGGATTTTGTCACGAAAGTCTTCTTCAGCCCATATATCTTTTGCAGTTTTAGTGCTCTGTCCTTCTTTGCTTAGCTTTTTTTCAAGAGCTTGATAGTATCGTTCTCTATCTTTATTGGCCTGAAAGTGTCGAGGCTTAGTAGGGTTAAGAACTTCCTCTTCAATAACCCGACCATTCTTCTTTTGCCGAACACGATTCCTTCAATATGATAAATGGTTTGATGTGTTAAAGCTTTTTTTTGCTCTATTTTCTAGGAAAACATACCGTTTTACAATTGGATCCTGGACTTTGGAAGTGTTGTTTAAAGCCTCCAAAGAGCGTAAAGGCTTTTTAGCATTTAATTTTCGTTTCTGCTTTTCTGTAATAACAACCTGTTTATGTTTTAATGGTGTTGCATCCACCATAAACAGCTCATCATCTTCTTTTTCTGCGAATGAGCTATACAAAAATATTTAAAAATTTTTCCTCTTTAGAACATATCAAAACTTACCCAACGCGTTCTTCCTGTCGTTGGTCTTCCAAATATTCTTCTACATCTTTAATATCCGTTTTACGCCATGCTGATTTGTTTTTCTTCGAAACACGTTTTTTCTTTATTACAGACATTTTTCAGTGGGTAATTGCAATTCACCTGGGTGGGAAATAGAAATGAGTGTAAGCAGAGCTGCAAAAAAGTCGATGATAAAATCGATGTAACGATGGTTTTGCAATTTTTATCGCCTTCTATAGTTTCTTTTCACCTTCAATTATTTTCAACCCAGGTTTGAACATTAAAGTATCTGAAAATTTAAACTAAAGCTTTTCCTAAAACACAATCGTACACGTTGAACATTTGGAGTTAATTTTGACGTTTCAGGCACGTAAGTCTGCCTTTTAAGTCTGATCGGTTCGTAGGCGAAGGAGGTGAAAAGAGAGGGAAAAAGTGCATTCGTCGCACCTCCTTCGCCTACGAACGAGCAGACTTGACGTCTCTGAAAGGGGTCTTGCAAAAACCAAATTTTGCAGGAGTTTTTGTTTTATTTTTCTCTGCTTTGGCCAGCACCGCCAGTACTAACTTTACATTCCCACTGCATTGAAATCTGAGATTTCGACCTCGAAATCTTAAAATCCTGTTAAAATATTTCCACCGCACTCTCTTTGCATTTTGTTGACATTTGCTAATATGTTTTTGTGTTTGTGTGCTTCTGTTTATATATATATATATATATTCATAGTCGAAAGTTAAAACTCATTCATGTTAAAATACAGTTTTAAGTTTAGAATAGATTTTTAAGTTTTGTTAGTCATATACTACGTTTATACGCACGCATTATTTGCAAATAACAATTTTCAAAATGGTAAATTTTGCCGTATAAACGCTGAGTTAATTTTTTATTTGTAAATAACTAAATTTCATTTTCGAGCTTAACACCCTAATCCGTAATTATAATAAGAGATTAGCCATATAAAATGCGTCCCTTGTTAATCTGTAATTATAAAATAATCTCAGATTTAACCGATAACTTTTCGGTGTCCATTCTAGTTTTATCGATTGTTTTTGTGAAATTTAATAAAATGTTAAGTTAAAATATATTTATATTGCTTATTATAGCATAAAAAGGTGGTCACGGTGGCACAGAGAAGAAACATAACTTTTCCTTGACATCGCAACATGATCGGAACGATTTATGATGGCGACCATTGTGTTTTACCATTTCTAGGGCACGTGCGCGTCGAGGAGTGCGTGGAAATGTCAAATGTACGTATAAAAAAAGCATTAAGCAGCTGTTTTTTTGTTGTCTTTTGCGAATTTGCTCCAAAAGAGAGAGCACAAAAATTGTAGAAAACAGATTGTTGGAGCTGTGCGTTTGGAGCCAGAGAACGAAACCTTTGTTGGTAGAAGATAATCTAAAATCAATTTCTTTCAAAACTTCAGCCGGATTTGACGCTCTCTTAGCGGAGCATTTGAAATCTGTTTGTAATTCACCAAGAAGCTGAGCTTAACATTCACAACAGCATCATCGTTCTTTCAATACGGGAGCAGGTTAAGTAAGCGACGCGAAATTGCTAAAGAGCGTGAAAAAATTGACTTGAACGTGGCACGACATATGCAGCCACAGGTGTTTATTGAGGTCACTTGTTGTCGCGGTCGTCTATAAGACACACTTGGGCTCAGGGCCCAATGTGATATTGAGGTCACTTACGTTGATAAATTTTTGGATTTCTAAGAAATTGTCCAGTAATAATGCATTTCGCTCAGTATATTTGCTTTCTTGGGATTAGCTTGGCGACACTACCAGCATGTTTGGGTCTGTTGGATGGTATCTACTGCGGCAGGGAGGATTGCTATGATGTTTTAGGTGTAACGCGCCAATCCACTAAAGCGGAAATAGGTAAAGCGTATCGATTGCTAGCGCGAAAACATCACCCTGATATGCATCGAGGCGCTGAAGCTAAAGCGGAAGCTGAAGAAATGTTTAAATCGATTGCTACTGCATATGAAATACTGCGAGATGACGAGTCTCGACGGGATTATGATTATATGTTGGATCACCCGGAGGAATACTATTCACATTACTACCGCTACTATAGACGTCGAGTAGCACCAAAAGTTGATGTACGCATCGTAATTGTAGTAACTCTTACGATTGTATCTATCATTCAATACTACTCGGGATTGCAGCGTTATGATAGCGCCATTAAATATTTGGCTACTGTCCCAAAGTATCGGAATCAAGCGTTAGAAATTGCAAAAGAAGACATAGAGAAAATCAGTAATCGGAAAGGAAAAAATCGAATGTCCAAGTCTGAACAACGTGAAGAGATCGAGCGCATTGTCCGCAAAATAATTGAAGAAAAGATGGATGTTAGGGGCGGCTATGCTAAACCGTCAATATGGGATGTTCTGTGGGTACAATTGCTGATATGTCCATACACACTGCTTCGTTTTATAGTTTGGCATGCAAAATGGTTTTGGCATTTTACCATAAGGAAACAACCATACGGGCGAGAGGAAAAGCTCTATTTGATACGCCGTTATATGAAGATGGGCGAGAATCAATTTAATGGATTAGAAGACCATCAAATCAATGAGTATTTGCAACTGGAATTGTGGCAAAAGGATAAATTCCAGATATGGCAAGAAGAACAGGAGGAAGAAATGAAAAAGAAATTAGCTGAAAATCCACGATACAAATCTTACAGGCGATATATGAAAAATCACGGTCCAGGAAGGCTAACATTTGAAGACTAATAAACTATACACTTATTTGAGAGTTGGACAGGTCTAAAACCAGCAAAAGATATGATATGGTTTATAATCAATCACATTAACGTATGACTTATGCTCTGTAAAAGTTGACAACACCCCATCGAATTAAGCCGATCAAGTTTTATTGATTTCTTTACTACATAGAAAACTTTATGCAGTTTCTTCCCACTTTTTTGCTTACATCTACACTAATGTACACCTAATAAAATAAATTATAACTTAACTCGAAATTCTCTCAATTTATTATAAATTGATCCAATAAGTTGGCATCCAGGTCATACATAGTACGTCTGCATGTTGAACTATGTTGACAAAATGGAAGATAAATTTTATACATCGAAAAACCTTCATCTTTGATCATGTTATGTATGTTTACATACATACACATGTACATCCATATACATATCTGTTGCTAGGTGGAAAGATAATACTTGCATTTTGAGATATTTAAATCGTTTAGAACAATAAACTTTGATTCTATTAAAGGCTAGTTTTTCCGGACTGTGGTTTGAATTTGGTTTAAACTTTGTTTATTCCACGGCAGTTGTTATGCTATTTTAAGTGGAAAGCTTCTTGGGTATCATGAGCAATAGGGTGGTTATTATTAAACGTTACAAGCTAATATACATATGTACATATCAAGAATGATAGAATACATTTATTTTCTTTATCTATTTTCTGGGCCGTGTGTGCATATAGTAAGGCCCTATCTCACAACGCCGCTGAAATACAAAAAGCCATAACTAACTAAAAATCCGAATTCAGTTTTTGATTGATTATGATGCATTTCGTTAAATTATGTGTCCCCAATTCGTTTTATGCAATACTTTCTTTACTTTAGTGAGTTTCGGCTTTTTTCCCTTTATCGTTGGTGTGAGATAGGGCCTGTCGATTCTAACGATATTTATGTATTACTTTAATTTTTATTGGCAAAACCAGAAGAAAAAATTTGATTATATACATATAATAGAATATACAAAACATGTATGCCCTCGAACAAGTTTTTTGGTTCGTTTAGAACGTGTTGATTATTTCAGTTTAATTAAGAAAATGATTATTTACCGCACTTCTTGAAAATGGCAAAAATACGAGCACCTTTTTTGTATTTTTAATAGGATTTATTTATAAATTACGAAATTTTTGAACTTATCGGAAATTTATTGTACTACGAACGTACACCCAAAATATATTCTACATCATTTTCCTCATCCAAGTGTTCCTCCAGTTCCATAACGGAGTTATCGATGCCGTCTTGTTCAACAATGACTTGGATCTGATTGGACATATTTTGCTCACTGTCGTCCATTAATTCTGTGGTGAATATGCATTCTTCCAGAGCTACTGTTTTTATTGCTGTAATCTCTTGTTGGTGAGTAGTTAGGACCTCTGATTTCCTAGCCATCGCTGACCCATTATCATTCAGTTCTCCAATTATTGATATATTTTCGCAGCGAGCATGATTTTCCAGGTGAGCCAATAGATAAGCTTTCTTAGTGAATCCTCTGCCACAGCGAGTGCATTGGAATTTCTTTTCGCCAGTATGTGTGCGTAAGTGCACGGTTAAGACATGCGGATATGCAAATGACTTATTGCATGTTGTGCAACGATATGGTCGTTCACCAGTATGGGTTCGCTCGTGCTTGCTTCGTGACCCAAAATCTGAAAACCGTCTATCACAAAATGAACATGGATATGGTTTATGCCCAGTATGAACCCGCATATGACGACGTAACTCCACGTTCGAAACAAAAGCTTTATCGCAAAGTTCACAGGCAAATTGGCGGTCGTTATTGTGCCTGCGCATATGGGCGCTTAATGCGTGCTGGTATTTGTAAATATTTCCGCATATCTCGCATATCTTCATTGATGAATGTAATGACTTGCCTTTACGTGAAGGCAATTTTACCCCACTATAAGGTTTAATTTCAGAAGGTGTAATTTTTTTAGTATTAAATTTTTTTTTTATCGGGAATCCATGAATACTATTTTTACTATTCTCTTTTTCATATAAATCTCGTCGATCATGACCTGGAAAGCTTTCCGGGCTAAACATAGGTGACATCAGTTCATTACTTTTGTTATCACTCTCCTCCTGATAACCGATTAATATTGGATTTTCTTCATCGTTAGCATCATCTAGTATTTCTTCCTTTACATGTGTTTGAGAATTATCATTGTCATCCGGTGTAAAGCTTGACTTTGACGGTATTCGACATCTTTTCTCTAGGGCGCGTTGTTTATCGGTGTCTTTAAATGCATCATTGACATCTTCTAACTCTCCTTCTCTAACAGAGTCAAAATAATCTGTACTTTGAACAAAATCCTTTTGATCTTCCTCATCAATATATTCGACTATGCTGAATCCATCGGTTTCGTTAACATTATCTTCATATTGTTCATCTATTCGCGAAGTGCTAAGATACGATTTCATTGCGGGAATTTCGCGGCGAAGCTTTAAATTGGTAGATAGCTTGCCTTTCGGACATTCTAATTCATAATTAGTCAAAGACACAACATCCTCCTCTTCTTGTATGGAACGGAAAAGAGAATTAGCCGTTTCGCAGTTTTTACGAAAGCGCCAAGCGGCATTTAAATCATCCAAGCAGTGATTACATATTTTGTTTGAAGTTTTAATGCTTAAATTTCGCAAATTTAGCTCCGAACAAAATGATATTTTTTCGGCAATGCCCATGTTTGACTCCGAAACTATTGTATCATCATCGGTGAATACAGATTTCAAGTCAGCACTATCATTTTGAAGGCAAACAACGCAAACCAGATCCAAGTCAATAACAACTGCCATGATTATTTATTTAATGGTAGTCACAAAATAAATTACAAACATTAACTGCATCCTTTATCAAAACAAACAGCATAAATCCACAAACACCAAATGGAATCTGACAGCTTAGTAATAGAATGTCAGACACAGCAACTCTGCCCTTAAAACTAGAACTCAAAAACAGTCGATGTTCGGAACTATCGATGAACAACAAGAATGATAGACTGCTTTTACACAGTTCAAGTATTGAATTCAATTCTGCTCGCATGTGGAAGAGAGGGGGTGAGAAGAAAAGGGACGAGTACACATGCGTCTGTACCATGAACCAACGACTACAGATCACGTAATCCGCCATCGTTGTATTTGTAATCGATTTTCAGAAAAAAGTTTTCGTAGCGTTTTTGATGTTTTTTGGTTTTGTTTACATCGTCTTCTACCTCTTCGTAGTGATATTTTAGCGATTTTATGTGTTTTCTGCAGCGGTTTTAATTAGAAATTTTGATTTATTACAAATTTATGATATAATATGAAGTGCTTTGTGATTGGAACAAGTTTGTGCGTCTGTTTGATTTGCCAAGAGGCGTAAATTTGCGTGAAAAGTGGGTGCACATTTGTGGTCAGAACGTTGGCATTGAAAAATCGGCCGGTGCCGATAATATGCGATTGTAAAACACTCTCAATCATTAAAACCATATTTTATGAACTTTTTTTGCTAATTGTCATCAAGTTTCACTATTTATATTTTATAATAAATACAAATCTAATCGCACTCAATAACCGCGCCTTTTTCGTTTTCTTTGTTTGTTTTCATTTTTAGGCAGATGTCAAAAACGCTCAGAAATTTACTTTTTTCATTCTTTTCCGATTGCGTGATCTTGTTAGTTGGTTCATGCGTCTGTACCGTCATTTCGTTTCAACTTTCTTGCTTTGCTTTTGGCATTTTCGTTGCTTCCCATTTAAAGAACCAAAGACTTGAATTCAACAGAATTGAAACGTGTAAAAGCAAATAAAAAACACAAAAGAGAATGAGCAAGAATTGCTTTCAAGTACTTGAATCATGTAAATCAGGTGATAGAATACAAGATTGCGCCGTCCTGGGCGTTGACATTTGTGTACCACAAGTAAACAAAGAATAGAGCGAAAAGAAGAACGAGTTGAAATAGCCAAAGCAGTTCACTTTACTGCGAAAAACGTGTTTTAATTTTGCTAAATGCGAAAATATTGCATTTTTCACCTAATCTATTAGAGAACAGTGAACTGCACCGCTGCACCGTGGGGAAAAAGGTATTGGGATTTCCCCAATTTCGGTGGAAAAAATCGCCGATAGAGAATTTTCGCTCATCTCTAGTACTGTGCAATACAAAGGGAACATCTTTAAAATAAATAAGTTTTGGTCAAACGTCATAAGAAAAACTGGAAAATACTTGTACAGCATGGCGACTGACGAAAATATTATGGATGAAATGCTAGGTGAGTTCTTTTAAATTAGTATATCAATCTGAAATGAAGCCATTTAATAGCGGTTTGTGCATTTTCATATTTTTTGCACTATACAATTCTACGAATGGTCAACAGATCGTATGACCAATCCTAGTCGGGAAACGGTGGATGAGCTTAGTTTGCAAATGTTTTGCATGGTGGTGCGAAGTAATCCAAAACTGGTAGACCGGGCCCAGGAAATGATTATGCTAAAAGTTCGCTCGAGTAACATCACAGAATCAATAAGATCCATAAACGTTTGTTAACGAGTGCAATCATTTCGGGCACAAACAGTAACGTAATATTTCATTTTAGTTGCTTGAAGAATGCATGAACAATTGCGGCTCCGAGTTTCAAGATGAGGCATCTAAATTTCGATTTCTAAATCAACTCATACGCCTCGTTTCAAAGAAGTATCATGGAGCTGACACACCTGCTCCAATCAAGAAACGTATCATGGAATGCTTGCTCTTGTGGACGACAGAGTTTCCTCAAAAAAGTAAGATACGAGAAGTATATGAAATGCTATCTAAAGAGCAAGAAGTGGACCCTGGCATTACCCCGGCTATAGAGGCGAAGGGACAGAGCGTGCTAGGTATCGACGAAGCAATGCTAGCTAAGCTAATAAAGAGTAATGACCCTAAAGACTATAAAAGAGCAAACTTGCTTATACAAAATAGAGTGAAACAGGTAAACAACAATTTCTTTCATTTAATTTCGTTGATAAGGTAAACAATTTTGGTTTTAACAGGAAGCCCGGCGCATGGATTTGTTGATACAGTATAAAAATATTTTACAGGAAGTTACAATAACTGTTGACTTATTGGATGAAATGCTTAA